GCCTTTCCTTCTAAGAATGTAAACTTTTCCGGGACAAAGACTCTTCCTGTGTCACCCCAGGGCTATTTAAGAAGGTGGTCAATAAATGGGTGTTGACTCAATTCCCCTTTAGAATCTGAGTCCCAATTTTTTCCCTCAAAGCTGCTTTCAAAAGCACACTGCTAGGTCCTCAAAAAATTAAACACAGATTTACTATTTGATCCAGCAATTCCACCTCTGGGTATATACCCAAAAGGATTCAAAGCAGGTACTTGAAAAGATTTTTATATATCTGTTTATATATATAAATATCCATGTTCTTTATGGCATTATTCACAATAGCCAAGAGGTGGAAACAACCCAAATGTCTACTGATGCATGAATCAACAAAAGGTGATATATACATATAATGGAATATTAATCACCATTAAAAAGGAAGGTAATTCTGGGGCTCCTGGGTGGCTCAGTTGGTTAAGCGACTGCCTTTGGCTCAGGTCATGATCCTGGAGTCCCTGGATCAAGTCCCACATTGGGCTCCCTGCTTGGCAGGGAGTCTGCTTCTCCCTCTGACCCTCCCCCCTCTCATGTGCTTTCTCTCTCTCTCATTCTCTCTCTCTCTCTCTCAAATAAATAAAATCTTAAAAAAAAAAGGAAGGTAATTCTGACATGTGCTACCACATGGATGAACCCTGAGAACATTATTCTAAGTGAAATAAGCCAGACACAAAAGGGTAAATACTGTATGATTCTACTTATATAAGATACCTAGAGTAGTCAAACTCACACAGACATAAAGTAGAATGGTTGAGGGATTTAAAGGGGCTGTTTGTTGGTGCACCTGGGTGGTTCAGTCGATTAAGCAACCGACTCTTGATTTCGGCTCAGGTCATGATCTCAGGGCCCTGAGCTCGAGCCCCATGAAGGGCTCTGCACTCAGTGGGGAGTCTGCTTCTCTCTCTCCCTTTCCCTCCCTCTGCCCCCACCCCTGTGCACACACTCATGCTCTAAAATAAAATGTTTTTTTTTTAAGATTTTATTTATTTGACAGAGAGCGAGAGCAGGAACACAAGAGGGGGAGTGGGAGAGGGAGAAGCAGGCTTCCTGCCGAACAGGAATCCCAAAGCGGGGCTCAATCCCAGGATCCTGGGATCATGACCTGAGCCAAAGGCAGACGCTTAATGACTGAGCCATCCAGGAGCCCCCCCAAAATGTTTAAAGACAGATAGATAGATAGATAAAGGAGCTGTTGTTTAATGGGTACAGTTTCAGTTGGGGAAGATGAAAAAGTTCTGGAGATGGATAGTTGTAACAACTGCACAACAAAGTGAGTGTACTTAATGCCAGTGAATTGTACACTTAAAAATAGTTAAAACAGTAAATTTTGTTATATATATTTTACCTTGTTTTTAATAGCACACTGCTCCTTCTCTGTTTACTATCCTTAGATCAGACATAAATGAAGTGTAGAGTTAAGAGCAGGGACTCTGGAACCAGAACACCAGGGTTCACATCTGTCATGGCCACTTACCACAGTTCTAATCTGTCACTGTTTCCTCATCTTTAAAACAAGGACTTCGTAGCACCCACTAGACAGGGTTATCATGAAGATTAAGTGGATTAATAAATGTACAGTGCCTAACTCAGTGCCTGGGACATAATAAGGGCTCAATAAATGAAAGTTCTTACTGGGGTGTGTGGGTGGTGCAGTCGGTTAAGCCTTCCACTCTTGGTTTTGGCTCAGGTTGTAATCTCAACCTGAGCTGGCACGCAGTCTGCTTGAGATTCTCTCTCCCTCTCCCTCTGCCCCTTCAGCTCATATGTGTGTGTGTGCTCTCTCTCTCTATAGGATAAATAAATCTTTATTTTTTAAATTAAAAAAAAATAAATCTTTAGAAAAAAATGAAAGTTCTTATTTTTCATATAGACAGAGGATATAGTTTTAAAAAGCATGTTAATGGGGTGCCTGGGTGGCTCAGCTGGTTAAGCAGCCGGCTCTTGACTGCGACTCAGGTCATGATCTCAGGGTTCTGGGATGGAGCCCCCGCACTGGGTTCCGTGCTCAGCAGGGAGTCTGCTTGAGGATTCTTTCTTTCTCTCCCTCTGGGCCTCCCCGCCCCTGTGCCTCCCCCCACCATGCACACGCTCTCTCAAATAAATCTTTTTTTAAAAAATAAAAAGCATGTTAACTATCATTTATCATTTTTAGGAGAATCTACAGAAAGTAAAGCTTAACAACTCTTACTAGTATTACAAGGAGAAAGCCTTTTTTATTTTAAACATTTTATTTATTTGTCAGAGAGAGTGAGCAAGAGCGCGAGAGAGCGAGCAGCAGGCAGAGGGAGAAGCAGGCTCCCTGCCCACCAAGGAGCCCGATGCGGGAGTCAATCCTAGGACGCTGAGATCATGACCTGAGCCGAAGACAGACACCCAACCAGCTGAGCCACCCAGGCGCCCCGAGAAAGCCTTCTAAAGCACTTCACTAGATTACTGAATGACATGGACATAATCTTTTAATTCTGACTAAAATTTGCAGCCATTACATCTGCCTTGAAAAGATCTCCAGTTATCTTGTCTGTACTTAAGATATAAACAGGACTATGCTTTACCAAGAATCTTATCAAATTATTACATACCTCTTTACACACACACACACACACACACACACACAAATCTTACTCTTAGGGTAAAACCTTCTTAATTACAAAATGCCAATCTATCAGGGTCTTAACTCTGACAAAACTATAGTCTATATCATACTGCTATTTGGAAAGGTAAGAAGCATTTATAAAAACTTCCCTAATATAGTACATCCAGGTTCTTACTTGAATCCTTAAAGCATATGTGGGACTTCTGACCCTGGTGCCCCAAGAGACAACATATTAAGGGCACGACTTAGGTCTTCCGTGTTTCCCAGCAGACAGCACTGCAAATGGTGTGAACAACTTTGTGTTGACCAAACCTTCCTCTCCACTATCTCCACTATCTTTGGCAGTTTATAACATCAGAAAAACACCCAGGCTTTCTGTCTCCACACCAATTCTAATACAGTCACTATCACTCAAATGAAAAAGCTACCTTTGCCATTGCTACTTCCTTAACTGAGATAGGACTTACTCTCTTCACATGAATATAGGGCAGGACATCAAGCTCTCAGTCCCACCTGAACAAAGCACAAATCTAGAATTTAACTTCAGGTATCAGTCAGAGGGCTTGCTCAGATATTAGTCTATAAATATATTCCTCCGTGTTTATATTCTCAGAAAAAAATATCAAAAACATGTAATTTCTCTTAAGAAAAGAGAACGTATCAAGTCAGAGCAAAAACCTCATTTAAAATAATTCATTATGGGGAGCCTGGCTGGCTTAGCCAGAAGACCATGCGACTCTTGATCTCCTGAGCTCAAACTCCATGTTGGGTACAGAGATTACTTAAATTAAAAAAAAAAAAAACACTTAAAAAAATTAAATAGTTCATTAAACATGAAATGTCCTAAGGCAACTCCCCAATACAGGTTGGAGGGCAATGCTATGAAAGTCACATACACAAAACTACATTAGTCCTCGACTTCACCCTCTGTAACAAAACAGGGCAAGAACACTATGTTTTACAGAATATAAACAGAAATGGTCTAGATGTTCTAACAATTACATAAAATCAGAAGAGAAGATTTTTCAAGAACACCTCGTTACCTAAATTGCAACTTATTTGTGAAATTAAGCTTACATATCAGAACCACCTGTATGTACAATGAAAGCTTTCAAAAATGCAAGAGCAGAAGAAATCAAGAGTATTTTATTCAGTCTGAGTTTTTTTTTAAATCATCTTTTATAAACATATAGTTTTTTTAAATAGTAAAATGTAAATCCAACCCTTCCTTTTCTAAATCTCAGCTTAGTTAAAGACTTTTTCTGGCTAACTGGGTTTGAAGTCCTAAGACACCTAACAGTGGCCAAGTCTAACTACCCACCACCCTATTGGCTCAAAGGAAACCCCGCCCCGTACAGCCATAGTAACTGAACCTAAGGGAACTCCAAGAAAGGTTGTCCCCGGCCACATTTCTAGTCTCTGATGACTCTCCGCCCCTCCCCCCACAATCACCGCTGCGGAAGCATGGTCACAGCACGAGCAGCCACTCCACTGCAAGACTCCCAACGAAAGGACCTTGAGCACCTCGCCCCAATAATTACAAGCGGCGGTGACCGTGCTCCCACTCTCCAAGGCTGAACGGTGCCATCTATGCTGCGTGGAGCTAAGACAGACAACAGCTCTGGCACACAGCCCTCTTGCCCCAGGCAAAAGGCATGGCCGAGGCACAAGAGTAAGTCCTGACACCTCCGCAGCTCAGAGTCGGCGGGAGCCCCTCCCACCCCCACGGAGACGTAGGGCGGGGCAGATCTGGGCGCCGCGACTCCAAGCCAGACCGGACAGCGGGCTTTCCCGAACCCCGCCTCACTTGCCAAGGAGGCGGAAACCGGGGGGAGGGGGGAGGGGGGAGGACGGCCTGGGGGAGTGGCATCGCCGCTCCGTACGGCCCCTCCGGCCAACCGGATCCCGAGAAGGCGGAGGAAAGCAGACTTCACGCCCCCTCCCTGCCGCGCCCCGAAACCACACGCGGGAGACCCCTTGCCCGTCCCCCAACCCCAGCATGCCAGTGCGCGGCTGCCCAGCTGAGGCCCCGCCCACCTCGGGAAGCTAGGAGGGGTGGTCGACCGCAAACAGCACTTAGCCAGGGCCGGCCCCGCCCCTTTCTCCACAATCGCACGCGCGCGCCGGCCCCGCCCCTGAGCGGCGGCGCGAGAGCCCGCCCCCTCCGCGCGCACCGGGACTACGCTCTCCTCCCCCTCCCGCACGAAGAGCTACCCCGCTCCGCCCCCCACCCCCCTCACACATCCACACACCTCCCGCCCGTCTGCTCTACGGGAAGCCGAGGAGGTCAGGCCCCCTAAAAATACACACCCTCGAGTCCAGCGTTACCCGCCACCAGGCTCCCCGCCCCGACCCTGGCCCGGCGTGCTCTCACCGCAAAGCTGCTTCGGCCGCTCCTCACTGCGTGTCCCTCTCGGCGTGAGCCTCGGGCTCAGCAGGGAGGCCCCGAGAACGGCGCAGGCACAGGCCCGCCGAAGCGGACTGGCAGCCTCCTCTCCGCTAACGAAACGGTCACAGGCCCCGGTGCCCAGACTGGGAAGGAGGGAGGGAGGGAGGGAGGGAAACTCCGAGGGGGGAAGGGGAGGGGGGGAAAGATGGAGAAACCGTCTCCGCCGCCTCTACCGCCGCGGCCGCTTCTCTGTTACCCGGGAAATCCCGCCCACTCCCCCGGCCCGCCCCGCAGAGGGAAGACTCAACTTCGCTCCGCCACAGGCCGCATTATCCGCCCGTCAAAGGTTTAACCAATCGCTGTGCCCTGCCTGCCGGCTGCCCGCCCCTTCCCCCTCGGCTGGGAGGGGAGGGGGAGCCGCTCACCTTCTCCACGCCCCTATTGGCGGGGAGCTTCCCTAACTCAACCCCGCCTATTGGAGGCGAATTGCTGAATCCCACCCCCACGCCTCAACACTATTGGAGGAAGCAGGGGAGCTCTTCACGTCTCATTGGAGGACTCCACATATCCCGCCCCGTGCGGTCTCAGCCACAGGCCCAACAAGTCGGCTCCCGCCCTCGCCGGTCATCGCATTGGAAGGCTACCCCTGGCTCTCTCGCTGCCCCAGGAAGGTAAGTAACCGATGTGGGGTAAAATGTCCGTAAATGAGGCAGGCCCCGCCCCCAACCACCCGATTGGATATCTCGGCGCCGGTAGCAGCCTCCATTGGCCAGGACGCCCGTCTCGAAAGGAACTGACTCCGCCCCGCGTGAGGAGGCTGAACCTTAGCAGTCCTTTTGTGGAATGTTTACACTAGAGACTGAAGTGCAGAGAGTTCCAGGGCCCGAAACAGGAGGGGGCGCGGAGCTCAGCAGCTGAGATCCGAAGCCTTGGGATTTGAAAGGGAGAGACAGCAACACACCACCGTGGAGGACCCCTTACAAGAAAAAATAAAAGAAAGAAAGAAAACCTCATCCTATCCAGTTCTCTCTACAATTTACATTTCCGCACGCTGCTTCCTTGTAAACACAAATATCCGGAGCAACCGGACCCGTACAACTCCTTTCAGTACGTACAGAATTAAGAGCTGGAGACCCAAGCCGAAAAATAGTCCCAGTGGTTGCCAACCCGCAGCTAGTTTTGGCTGCACACTTCTAACACCGACAATCCCTAAACTTGAGTATGCAGTCCTAAGAGGGCGGAGATAACCAAAATGAAGGCAGGGCCCTAACAGCCACCGCCCTGGCAAGCCTCCGGAAGGCGGAGCGTGAGGTGTAAAGCGTTTGCGATCTCCAGGGTGTATCTGGAGGCATACTCGGACTCGAACTGAGTAAGGAGACCAAACAGGCCACAGCATAAATGAACCTTCACCCCACACTTCATACAAAGAATAAAAATTCCACAGTTGGTGACAAAAGATAAGAATGGCTGTTCACCTACTCCTCTGGCCAACAAGTGTTAATGGCAGTCCCTAGGCCTTCTCTGTGTAGGTTATAGTGCTTCAAACACACAGAGACAAAGTGCTTGCAATGCCTAGGTTGCTTTTATTTATTCACCAAATGGGGCGGAGAACGGACGCTGGCCCTGCTTTGGGGGGCGCTCAAGGAGCGCCAGGAAAGGAGGGGGCGGGACTAGAGTTTTCCCGCTCTCCAGCAAAAGGCTACTCCCCCGAGAGCCGTGTCAGTCCCCAAGTGGCAGGCCCCAGGGAACCCGCTCCCAGGTCCTATCTTGTCCTCCCTCCGCAATCCAGGGGAGACGGCAAGGAAACCAGCGCTGGCAACAGGTGGGCCTGACTCCAATGATGGCTTCGAGCCGTAAGGACAAGGCAGTGAACTGTGAACTCCATGAGTAGCTAAGGATGAGAGCCAAGCCCTGCCCAAAGCCGGAGCTCTAAAAAAAGGTCACACCAACGAAAGCGACGCTCGAATCAAATTTCTTCGAGGTTAGGAAGAAGCGGCACTTTTGCAGAACTTATCGACGGTACCTTTCACTCTGGGCCGTCCCCGGCTCCCTGGACTGGGTGCCACACGACGCTCCACCTGGACCTCAAGAATCACTTCGAATCCAAGCAGAGTTGGGCCGCCCCCGACTTCTCTGTCAACAGGGGTGAACCACCTTGGACCTTGCCTAAAGCACCCAGGCCAATCTTAGGTTGCTCAGAGTTTTAGTTAAAGCCACCTAAGGCCAAGCTGCCGGCGTCCGCGGCGTTCTCAAGCTTAAATTCAGGGTGATCTCCGGGAAGTCAAGAGGCGCGAGAATAGCCAGGCCGCAGGGTCAGAACTTTAGTAGTTGGCCCGGAAGGCCAGATCCACCCCTGCAGAACCCCTGGAGCCGAGGGCCCCGAAATCCACTCATGCCGTTAACCCCTAACTTCATCGCAAAGCTACCAGAATCTCCAGCCTTAGAGGAATCATTGTGTGCCTTCTCAGCTCTCTTCGCCCCCTCCCCCCTCCCCGCGCCAAGGACTCCAAACCCGGGACTTCCGGGCGGGAGGACAGTTCGAAGGAGCAAGGCGGGACTCACACATGTGCCGAGCGCGCACACAGGGTAGGGGAAGGGGCGGAGAACAGGGGGTGGACTTCCCCCCCATCCTAGCTCGCTCGGGCGGAGGGGGCGGAGATTACCCATCTCACCAATCAGGAGTGGGGGCGGGACCTTGCGCCTCACGTAAGTCGTAGGAATCCTTCCTCCGCCCTTCACGGAAAAAAATCCTAGCAACTTAAACTCCAGCCCGGCCTCCGATAGGCGGAGCTCGAGAGAATGTCATCCAGTCGAGAACCGAGAAGGAAAAAAGGGAGTCTCGCCCAGCCAGTCGAAGACAAGAGAAGGCGGGCCCTCTAGAGGAGCCCGAGGTGGGTGGAAGAGAGAGGGAGAGGCTCCGCCCCTCAGCTCCCCTCCGGGAGGGTTGCACAAGCGGCGGCTGCTGGAGTAGATAGTAAACAGGCTAGGCCAAGGAGTGGAGGCAGGGGCAACCCGGCGCTCCGTGGGCCGGGGCCCCGGCGCCTCCTCTCCCGGCATCGCCCCACCCGACCCCGGCGGTTAGCGCCGGCGCCCCGCCTTCCAGCCCGCGGCCGCCATCCCGGCTGACAGGCGCGCCCCCCGCGCCCCTCCCCGCCCGCTGATGCATTTCCTTTTCCCGATTCCTAGCGTGGAGACTGTTTTCCCAGTTTCCGACCTTCACTGCCCCTTTCAGGCCACCCCCTCGTGGGCGCGCTCACATGCCCGCGCCCCCGCCCCCGCCCCATGAGCGGGCGAGCCGCACGGCCGGGGGAGGAGAAGGGAGCCGCAGCCGCCGCCGCCGCGGTCGGCTTGGGGTGGGCGGGGAAGGAGGCAGCTCCATGTTTGCAAGGGGATCAGCTGGGGCCGCGGGTCGAAGCCGCCACCGAGTTCCTGGAGGTTTTCCGTGCCCCCGGGCCGAGTTCCGCGCGGGCTCGCGGCCTGGCGGGTTCCGGCGCCGAATGCTGGCTCTACTGCCACGGCCCGGGAGTTCGGAGAACACAGACCGTCGCGCGGAGCTAGTGGCCAGGCGCGGGGGGCTCTTTCCGGTGGCCTCCCCCGCCCCCGGCCGCCCCTCCCGCAAGTCCGGCGTTGCCCCCGCCCCCAGAGTCCATAACAACCGCGGCCCACGGCGCCCGCGCCTCTCCGGATCGCGCCCATCGCCCCCTCCGTCAAGTTTGCGGGCCGAAACAAAACCCTCCGGGTGGCTGCCGCCCTCGCACAGCATGGTTAGCGGGGAAAGCCGCCGGCTGCGGGTCGCTCGCTAACTCCAGCTCTCAACCAACTCCGGGCGCCGCGGGCTCAGTGGGCCTGGCCCGCCGGGCTCAGGCCGCCGCCCCCTGCCGAGCCCGCGCGCCGCAGCCCAGGCTCGGTTCCAGTCGGCGTACGGAATATCCCCTATTTTCTTCTTTACAATAATTTTTTTAAAGGCATTCCAGGAGCGAGGGGGGAAGGAATCTCCCCCTGCCCGCCCCTTACCCAGTCCGCCGCCGAAACCTACCGAAACCGACTGCTCGGTGAAATAAACCAGGCAGCACGGCCGGCGCACTGACGACCCCGGGCCGGGCCGACCCCCTCCCCACGAATCCGGCCCGGCTTGGAAAACACACACACTGGCGAGCGGGCGGCGCCAAGAGCTCTCCTTCCTGGCCTGCCCCGCGCCTCCCTCGGCCGCCGGACTCCGAGCCTCCCCTAGCTCCGTCCCGGGGCCCGCGGCGCCCGCACCGTGGCGGACCGGCCTGAGCCACTGGCCAGCGAGCTAGCCCCCCAAACGCCCGAGATTGGGGAGACCAAATTAAAAGCAGCTGTTTAACATACCTTCCGAGCCAGGCGAGGAGTCCTGAATGGGGGGGAACGCCCCCCACCGGCCATTGGCTCCCCGGCGCTAGCGTCAGTCAGCCTGGGCCCGCCTCCTTCCCTCGCTCCACCTCTTCCCCTTCATTGAACGCTCCCTCCCTCCAAAAAACATTAAATAAATAAATTAAACTAGCCGCGAGTGGGAAGCGCATCCGCGGTAGAGGCCCGTATCTCTCCGGTACCGCCCCTTCGAGTTTCTTGAGACCCTTGGACTGGAAGGAGACCTGAGACTCAGAGATCCGCAGGGTGGACTCGGAGGAGGAGCCAGCGGGGCTACCCGGCCCCACTTCCTTCGCACTCACACCCCATTTGGAGCTGGGTAGCGGAGGCTGGTAGGGACATCCTAGCGACTGGCTGGAATGGCCCAATTCCCCAGGCTGTGTAACCTAACCGTGTCCAGCCCATTCTCTTAGGTGGCTACCTAAGCATGAGTGGTGTAAGCGGCGAGTCCTGTGTTCAGGCAACAGGCGCTTGTCTACCGTGGGTGAGGCAGGCACATTCATCCTGCACCTGCTTCTGAGCGCGATTACAGAGACTGGATGAGATGCTCTCTCTATACCCTTCAAGGGCTCCAGACCTACCCGAGTTGATGCTACAGCAAGAGCTAAGTAAGGCAAGGCAGAAATGTGTATATAAATAGACCTAGGAGCTCAGAGCAGGGAGATTCTTCCTAGCTGAGGAAAACTGGGAAAGTCTTCATGGAGGAGATGGCTGGCACTCAAGTAGGGTCTTAATGCTTTCATCAGGCAGAAATGAAGGGGGCAAGTCA